GCAAACGAAGCTTGACAGCCTATGAAGAAAACGGTTGACCAGTTTCAGGTACCATCTTGTTTTTCACGGAAGGGACCTTACCTCAACTCGCTGCCTGGAAAGATAGCAAGACAATAATGCCTCACAGAGTCTTTCAACTGCAGCCAAGTTGCTGTCGAGATACCCTCTGTATATATGTATGCCATCACATTCATTCTCTAGTTATATGATGGATTTCCGAGGATAGAAACCCGAGGTAAAAGGACATCTTCATCCTACTGCCAAGGGCCCGTTGAGCTAGCCGAACCGTTTCTGTTGAGTGCTGTGATGGTTATGATCCACAGCTGGCTCGTTGCCAGGCGAGATTTGTCACGACAATCTCGGGTCGAGATAGGTTGCTTTCTGATAGTGTTTTTTAGACCATGCAAGCCGAGGGCACGTGGATAGGGATTCTTTTCATAGTACAGAACACTGTACGGAGTAGTTCTCGTTATTATTACTATTATAATTGTTATTGTTATTTTCTTGTCTTCCAATCCGTTTCTTTTTCTTGTACCTTTTTCAGCACCAGCTCAGCACTCACCATGGTTCAGACCCAAGTCGATCGAGGTATCAGAATATGCCTTTCTTATTTTACCACCACTCTCTTTGGGAAGAGAAATACCGGCGATTCAGCCCCTAATACGCGCGACATGGGTACTGAGAACTCCGTACCAGCTGGCGTCTCCCTCCCCTGTGAGAATTGCGATAGTGTGAATGCTGCGAATGCGTGAGAGCAAGCTTGGCTGGTTGGGCCATTGGTCCCACGAAACAGAGTCCACCCGCTCCTGTCAAGTCTCTGATGTGCCTTGGGGAGCTGTGCAGTTGTAAAGAGTACGGAGCACCCCGTATGCCGCTAAAACTGGGGGTGCAGTTGTGTTGATATCAAGAAAACACACGGAGGTGGAGTGAGGCTCTTGGAGTGGTCGTCTCTTTTGCCCAGTTGGGAAATGTGATGTTCCAAGCTCCACCCGCGATCTTTCTTTTATTCCAACGTCAACTGTTTATTTCCTCTCCCTCCAACAGCCAACAGCACCAACAATGCTGTTGCCGCTCCAGGTTTTCCCCTGCACCAAGAGTGGCCTTTGGTATACTTACCTGTACGGCGTACAAGCTCGGATGCCGCAAAATCCACTTTGTTATTTCAAAGCTCACCCCTGGCTTCGATCTCGGTGGGTCGGTAACTTAGTAACAGACCCCTCGATGCCGGGGATGTCCCTAGGCGCCAACAGAGGAGGAGATGAAACATGGTTGATGGCTATCGGTCTTAGCAAAAGCAAGACCCTAAGACATGCTACCCCCTTCTGGCAACAAGCGTTTCTCTTATCCAGAGTGTCAGGTGTCATGTTCACGATCTACGGAGTACAGCAGTTGTTTATACCCTGCCCAGCTACATTGAAACGAAAGCTTTGGCAACCACAGAAGTCAGAGGTGAGCGGAAGGTTTCACCTCACAACCATCCATATACAACTAGAAGCCGACCCATCACCTGGCTGGTGGCTTATCATTTTAATTATTAAGTTTTTTTTTTTTTTTTTTTTTTTTTTTTTTTTTTTCGGCTTGAAAAGTAATCGTTGACATGTGTGGCTTGCCTTGCCTAACCCCTGTAGTTTCTATATCGATGTACGACCGGACTTGTTGATAAGAATGCCCATGGATGCATCATGGCAGACGGTATGGGGCTTGGTAAAACAGTAAGTTTTCTATTCGCTACGCTTTCCGTATTAAGCTGACATCCGTAGTTGCAATGTATCACGTTGATGTGGACCTTACTTAAACAATCGCCTGAGGCAGGTAAACCTACAGTCCAAAAGGCGGTTATTGCATGCCCAGCTACGCTAGTTGGCAACTGGGCCAATGAACTAGGTATGTTCGCGAAATGCCGCCTTTACGTATTGTGTTCTAATAATTTTAGTAAAATGGCTGGGCAAGGACGCTATAAACCCCTTTGTGATCGATGGGAAAGCTTCGAAGACGGAACTAACATCCCAGCTAAGGCAATGGGCAATTGCTTCTGGCCGATCCGTTGTCAGGCCCGTGTTAATTGTTTCGTATGAAACACTGCGAATGAATTCAGATGAACTTCGGGATACCCAAATTGGGCTTCTTCTCTGCGATGAAGGGCATCGGCTGAAAAATGCTGACAGCCAAACTTACGTAGCACTGAACAAGCTCAACGTCCAGAAACGCGTCATCCTTTCTGGAACTCCAATTCAAAACGACTTGTCTGAATACTTCAGTCTTCTCGACTTTGCGAACCCGGGCATACTAGGGTCACGCAGCGAATTCCACAAGACATATGAAATTCCCATTCTCCGTGGCCGTGATGCAGATGGGACCGATGAGCAGCAGAAGAAAGGCAATGAGCGCCTTGCTGAACTTCTTAATCTCGTTAATAAGTTCATTATTCGAAGGAGCAATGACCTTTTGTCCAAATATCTCCCCGTCAAGTATGAGCACGTTGTCTTCTGCAATCTTGCTCCATTCCAGCTGGATCTATACAACCACTTCATCCAGAGTCCTGAAATCAAGAGTCTCCTTCGTGGTAAAGGAAGTCAGCCTTTGAAGGCAATTGGTATTTTGAAAAAGCTTTGCAATCACCCTGATCTTTTGAAGCTCTCAGAAGATCTACCAGGATGCGAGCAATATTTCCCCGAAGATATGACGGTATCCAATGGCCGCAGAGGGGACCGTGAAGTTAAGACTTGGTACTCTGGTAAAATGATGGTCTTGGATCGAATGCTTGCACGTATCCGACAGGATACTAATGATAAAATCGTCCTGATCAGCAATTACACGCAGACATTGGACCTTTTCGAGCGTCTGTGCCGAGCTCGTGCGTATGGCTGTATACGCCTTGACGGAACTATGGGTGTTAAGAAACGATCAAAGCTAGTCGATAAATTCAATGACCCGAACGGAGAAGAGTTTGTCTTCCTGCTCTCCAGTAAGGCAGGCGGATGCGGCATCAACTTGGTTGGAGCAAACCGTTTGGTACTCTTTGATCCCGATTGGAACCCTGCTGCCGACCAACAGGCATTGGCTCGAGTGTGGCGTGATGGCCAGTCAAAGGACTGTTTTGTTTACCGATTCATTGCCACTGGCACGATTGAGGAGAAGATCTTTCAACGTCAATCACACAAGCAATCTCTATCATCATGCGTGGTTGATTCAGCCGAGGACGTCGAGCGCCACTTCAGTCTCGACTCACTGCGAGAACTCTTCCAGTTTAAGCCAGGCACGACCAGTGACACACATGATACCTTCAAGTGTAAACGCTGCAGGCCGGATGGGACACAGCATATCAAGGCACCTGCAATGCTGTACGGCGACACGAGTTCCTGGAACCATTTTGTCAACACAGGCGAGAAGGGTCCTATGAACAGGATCCAGGATTTATTGTTACGACAGGAAACGACCGAGCAAGCAGTCAGCGCAGTCTTCCAGTATATCAGCCATTAATTGGAGTATTATTTTCTATTTCGATAGGGGTCAGCGTTTATGTATAGCTGGAGCGAAAGCTAGAGATGATTCTTTTATATGCCACATGGTTGATGTAATATTCAGAAACAAGGTCTAGAATATATCAAAACTCGTTTATTCATCCGTCTGCTCTTATATAACTATGCGCCCTGAGCTAATGCCTGGGATGTCGTCATTAACTCCATTAGTGTCTTGGTTATATCGACGACGTTCTGCTAGTTACACCTCAGATTCTCTGCTACACAAACCGTCAGGAGACGCTAGATGCCAGCGGGTTCTAGAGCTTCGCCTTCTGCTTCAAAAACCGGCCAGCCTGCTCAGTAGCAGTAACAGTCTACAGCCTGTATCCACCTGCATTGATAAGCGGCAGTCTCCATCGCCCGTTCGTTGTTAGTTATTCACCGCCGCAGCCAAGTTCTGGAACATCACAGCAATTGGCTGCTCTCCCGCCGCCATTCAACTCCCATCAATACCAGCACCAATCCGTCATGAATCGATAGCAGCATGCGAGCAGCGTCTTCCTTTAGATATACTTAGCCGACTCATCTCCTATACGCGCGGCCATGGCGACGATATACATGGACCCGTCCATCCAGCGGTTGCTGAACGATAAGCTTTACGATAAGAGGAAACAGGGTGCTTTGGAGTAGGCCTCTTTACTGAACCCCCCGTCATCGACAGAAGAGAGCAGAGTGATGAGCTAACGGAATACTTTACCCTTCGTGCAGACTCGAGAAGACAATCAGAGAATCTATCGCAAGAGGGGATAGTACAAAAATAAAAGGAATAATTGATCAGCTATGTCATGAATACGCCTATGCCGTGCACCAGCCCCATGCGAGGAATGGAGGCCTAATAGGCCTGGCAGCAGCAGCTATTGCCTTGGGATCTGTGAGTAACTCCAGTGCGGGTGGGTGTGCAAATGGTAAAGACAACAGCGATTAACTGTGGGTTAGGATGAGGTTGCACCCTTTTTGAAGGATATTGTACCGCCGGTATTAGCTTGCTTCACGGGTCAGGATGCCCGAGTCAGATATTATGCCTGTGAAAGCATGTATAATATCGCAAAAGTGGCCAAGGGGGAGATTCTACTCTACTTCAACGATATATTCGATGCTCTGTGCAAGGTTAGTCCCGATTACCCAGGATGTCACTTATCGCTGTATTGACGGCATGCTAACTCTACGAGTATAAAGCTAGCATCGGATTCAGAACTGTCGGTGAAGAACGGCGCAGAGCTTCTCGATCGATTGATAAAAGACATCGTTGCTGAATCTGCAGCGTCCTATGTTTCTGCGTTAGAGGCCTCACGCCCGGATATATCAGACGAAGAGGATGGCAAAGACGTGGATGAGCTTGAGGACATACCCACAGCATTTTCACTTGCAAAGTTCATTCCTCTGCTTCAAGACAGGATTTACGTTCAAAACCCTTTTGCTCGGAATTTCCTAGTCTCCTGGCTTACATTATTGGACACAATACCCGATCTCGAGCTTGTTACCTATCTGCCAGCATTCTTAGGAGGCTTGTTCAAATTTCTAAGTGATACAAATCGGGATGTGCACACTGCTACCCAAGGGCTTCTGGAAAGGTTTCTCAATGAGATAAAACGAATAGCAAGAGTTAAAAAAGGCATTGCCGAAAGTCGTCGTGACCATGAGAGCGGACAGTCGAAGATATCTGCCAGTGATAGTAAAAGTGTCGACTCCGAATTGAGCATTTCGCATGCTGTGAGTGACAATGCTATTGCGGACTCCGAGTCTGCTACTGCGAATGACGACCATCTTAACAACCCATATGGTGACTGGGTGCCCGGTCAGGATGTTCATGTTGACCACTCGAGGATACTGGAAATTTTAGTCAATTTCGTCGATACAAACTCTGGTAAGCACCCTTACTTATCCTTATATTATGTTTTATCCAACTACTTACAGTTCTTTGCTGGCGTTACAGAAGATGAAATCCAGTTAACCGCACTCCGTTGGATTGATAGTTTCTTCGAAATCAGTCCTGCAGACATGCTGCAATTTGTTCCAAGGCTCTTGTCACAAGTACTTCCAACTCTGTCAAGCGGCTCAGATGAAGTACGGCAAGCAGCCAACCGTGTCAATAACTCTCTTATGCAGCATATTGTCTCTCTGACCGAAGATGCTCCTCAAAATGAGCCACCCAAGACATCTCCTCCTCTTGCGGCTGTCCAAGCTAGTGGTAAGGAAGGGGAGGGCCGCCGAACACCCACTCCTGTTACAAGACAGGCGTCGATAGCGTCCAGCGATACACGCAAACAAACATCACGGCCAGCGTCCAGGACGGAGCCAGCTCCTGCACTAGCATCTCAACCATCAGAGCAAGCCTCGGAGCAAACATCAGACCTAGACTATGCTGCAGCAGTTAATGCTCTAACTCTTCAGTTTCTGAATGAAAATGAAGCCACTAGAGTTGCTGCATTGGCATGGCTCATAATGCTTCACCGAAAAGCTCCCCGGAAAGTTCTTGCTTTCCATGACGGAACATTTCCTGCACTCCTTAAAACACTATCAGACCCGGCAGACGCTGTTGTCACCCGAGACTTGCAGCTCCTATCCCAGATATCTCGAAATAGCGAAGATAGTTATTTTGCGTCTTTCATGGTGGATCTCCTCCAATTATTTTCGACGGATAGGAAACTCCTTGAAGGTCGTGGTAATCTCATCATCCGGCAACTTTGTATGAATCTGAGTCCAGAAAGAATATATCGAACACTGGCAGACTGTCTCGAGAAGGAAGAGGTGAGGCATCCATTTTCTCCATTCAATGTAAGAAATGTTAAATGCTAATGTTCCTCTAGGACATTGAGTTTGCCAGTATCATGATCCAGAATCTCAATAACAACCTCATAACCGCTCCCGAACTTGCCGACCTCAGGAAACGGCTAAGAAATCTAGAAACCAAAGTAAGCCATTTTTAGCTTGTAGTTTGGTATCACTCAATTTTAACACGCCTTTCTTTAGGACGGTCAAATGTTTTTCGTTGCGCTCTTTAGGTCATGGTGTCACAACTCTGTAGCCACATTTTCCTTGTGTTTGCTTGCTCAAGCTTATGAACAAGCATATAACCTTTTGCAGATATTGTGAGTCTTCAGGCGTCTCCACTCTGCGATGGCCTATACTAACCCCCTTTTTACTTTCCAGTGCTGAGTTAGAAATGACGGTCAACATGTTGATTCAAATAGACAAACTGGTTCAGCTACTTGAATCACCCGTGTTTACCTGTAAGAGAACCCCTAGAGCTCCAGAGGTAGAAGTGTCACTGACTCCGTAAAGACCTCCGCCTGCAACTTCTCGAGCCTGATAAATATCCATATTTATATAAATGCCTTTATGGCCTTTTAATGCTGCTCCCACAGAGCTCCGCATTTGCAGCACTGAAGAACCGCCTCAATAGTGTCAGTAATATTGGATTGCTGTATGCTGGAATGCGGCCGTAAGTAAATCCACATTAGGAGGCCTATCGCAGCTCCACGCTAATCAGTATATAGGCCGACTTTGACTGGATCGACAAGCACTGGGCCGTATGAACGGTCCGGACGACTTAAGTCCCGCGAGGAGAGCGTCATCCGATGGGCTGATCTGCTCGAAAAATTTAAGAGCGTCCAGGAACGATCGAGAAGATCTCAACGTAGATCCCAGAGAGATCTTGAAATAGACAGAAACGGGATATCAACTTCAACAATGGCCACAGCATCGCTTCCACTGTATGAACCAAATAGCAGTGGTATCGACAGGACGCTTTCCGACATTCCGGTCGGCGCCCTCGGAATCGGAAATGGTGCCCGACGTCCAGGAGCTCAGGGCGATTCTCTCGGGACCCAAAAGGGCGGATCGACGGCGAAATCAAAGACGCCTCTTGGGACATTTGGTCGGTTGAGCGGAATTGGGCAAAGGAAATCAAAGAAGTGATGGAAGATAGACACGCAACCAGTACTCAGAGACGACACACGGTCTTTCATAGTTGGCCGACATTTACAGTTTACATATTCTTTTAATGAACCCTGTTAACACTAATAACCAGCCGTCTCACATATTAAAGATCTCCTTCCTAGATTTCTGCGCGCCGAGCGTGTTTCATCTTACTCCGTGGATCGCCGTCAATCCTACGACAAGGGATAGTTAAGGTCACCAAAGGAAATTTTCCAGAATCCCAGCGCAGATATAGATAGAAGCAACCGTAAAATTAACGTGATGTACTTGTGCCTTCGATGGATTGCCACATAGTAGCCTATTTGCTTCCCTGTCCGTTTCCCTTGTTTACCTGGAGCTGTAAATAACCACTACACCCTTGGCTGATTCAAATTGTTGTGCATTGACATGGGGGGGAAGTGAATATACATGCCACTCATATATATCCGCTTGAAACCTCTATCCCATGTCGCTTTTGAGGGTCAGCAGAAAGAAAACACGGGCCCCTCGTCTTCGGACGGCAGGTCCATGGACAGCCGCAGCTGAGCTCAGTAGGGGGGTGTGAAGGAGCAGAAATCTCGTACTTTTATACCCGGTATGCTTCTCCATGCAATGGGGTACAAATATATGCCGCTTCCAAGTATAGTGGCTTGTCAGGAAGTAAAAGGGGGGGTGAGCATCAGCTTGATAAGTATATGCATGGGTTAATCAATATTACGCTGCTCCTACAGGGAATGTTGGAATATTCCGAGAGCTCTAGGGTCCATAAATTAATCATCCCTATATGGCCATACATTTTCCCACGCTTCTTTCTCAGCTTCATTGTTAGCCATGTATTCTAGAAATTGCTCCTTGACTACCGCAAGTTTCTTCGTGAGCACATCGTAATCCTCATGGCTGGACCAGCCCGCCCAGCCATGTTCTGAACCTCCAAGAGCCTCCAACACGTCCCCTTTCATTTGTACTCCTTCTTCCCACTTTTGCTGATCCACCCTCTGCGCTGCAATATCAGCTTCGGTGAATTGAAGCGGGCAGGGGGGACCGTCTGGGCCCACAACTTTTTCCCAGTCAAGTGCGAGTTGTATTAGCTGCCCTTTTATGATAGGTTCTCCACCGTTGAACACTTGGGATATAAGTGAAATGATTTGGATACCCAGAGTCTGTGAATGCTGCAACGCCTTGAAGACAGGCATGTTGTTGCGGCCAGATTGTATTTCGTAGATCTTAAACAGAGACTGCTTTGACTGCAACTTCTCGGCTTCTTCCTTCTCGGCTGCGCTCAATGAATCGAAATTGTCTGGTAGTGGAGGCATGGGTGTAAGGCCAACGGATGGATGAGGGCCGATGAAGTCGAGAAATTCTGGAGTCCGAGCTTGTTGGAAAAGTGGTGCGATATGAGTAGTTTGCCAATCGATGATGGAGAGGATTTTCGACGGATCATCTGGGTCGACAAAGATATTGTTGTCATGGAGATCACCGTGCCACAAAACTGGGATATGTATAGATGTGTCTTTGGGAAGGAGATATGCTGCAATCTTCCCAAAGTCATCTAGCACATCGAGTTTGCTCTTTGCTGTAGGCTTATAGCCTCCGGGGCCACCAAATATTCCCTCCGGCCGCGGAAACCCAAGTCCCCGAACAATACATTCTCTTTCCCGTGTGGAGGAGGCCAGAATATATTCTAACGCAGAATTCCCTGCCACGTATTGCAGAAGTTAGCAATAACAGATAGGGTAAAAGGATGGCTACAGTGGCTTACAAGGCCCTTTATCTGTATTCACAGCCCTTCTCCCATCGTATACAAAATTTCTTTCGGTGCTGGGCCCAAGGACAAAATCCCCATAACTGGTATCAAAAAACCTGTTGCGATCTTGCACTCCATCAAGGTCGGATTTATGGTATAAACTTCCGATATGTTGGAAGTTGTGGATCAAAAGGGATTTTTCAAGTGAAATAACGTTATTTATCAAGTTGATTTTTTGGTCCTTTTTCATGGATGGCCATTTGGAGCTCAGCAGGACACCTTTGGCCTTTTCCATAATGATGTACTCTGCACCGACATGGTTATCAGATGTATGTGGATTCCAGACATACACTTTTGGTATTGGAAGCCCAGCAACATTTCTTCCCTAGAAATATATTAATAAACTCCATCTTCAGAACATATAGAAGTAGATAAACTCACGAAGCTCATGGTGGCAGCCTCGCTAGCTGTAGTATAAAAAGGGAACCCAGCATTTTTGTTAGGCACTTTCGCAACCACTTGGTGTCCACCATGCAGGCTGATAAGAAAGACCTTGTTATAGTCGCCTTCAGGAAGTTTTTCCACTTTAATGCAAGAAGATATATCACAGCCTTGGGATATAGCAGCGGCGCGAACCAGTTCCGTCATGCTGAATCTGACGGATCGATCTGCCATCTGTTTGTCTTCATTAAACAACCAGCGGCCGCCGGTATAACGATAGAAGCTCTCATCGTCCCAATTTGAAGCTAGACGGCCATCGGTTAATTAGCTGCTATCTACATGCACATGCTATTAGGACTTACCATATTGAGATTGAGGCGTGAATATCGCTCTGGGCCAACAAAGGGTACTGGGGCGGTTTGGTGAATAGTACGGATGGCATGATTGAGAAATTCTGGTATGGCACCGAGAAAGGAGGCGAAACAGCCCCATAGCATATGAATGCAATAAGAAGTAAAACCAGTAGAGACCTCCTCCCTCACCTTCTCTTTCTCTCTCTCCCTCTCTGTGCGCGCGCGTGTTTTTGGGTCATACTCTGCTGGCTAATATTTATCAGCTAGGGGCCAATAAATGTGATTTGCATAAAGACCCAAAGAGCAACAACAAAACAGTCGACAATTTCCATGACGCCCGAGGGTTGCCAGGGGTAGAAAAGCGAGCTATTTAATTGGCCAAGCTTGATAGCAAGGCCTGAGCAGACGCTCGGCTTGAAAAGAGCATCGGACTTCGTTTCGATAAGGGGGCAAAGGCTCGCGACGAGACTCAAGCTACAAGTCAATAAAGGGGGCGGACGATGGACTATATGGACAAGCTTCTCTTCAATATTTGATAACTGGGTATAACTGTCGCCGGCTCAATTTGTTTGATAGATATAATATATAGTGACAAAATTACTTCGCCCAGCGAATCTTGCTCAAGTAGAGAGATGGTCGATAGTATGTTGTAGGATATTGGAGAACAAGATGGCCACAAACCAATGACATGAGCGATAGTTATATAACTAGTTATCTAGTTACGTGTAGCCATTTAGGTAGTTAGTTACTGGCTATTAACATGCCATGCAGTATATTGTGAATAAGGGATCTGGATATTCTGCTCCTTGACGGCGCCAGCGGAAACGAGGTATTTGCTCTACTAACTCAAGATATAAATGCATTTCCGTCTATCACAGGGTGACAAAACATGCATAGCTTTCTGAAAAGAAACACCTTCCATCACTATCTTGACCTCGAAGCCTCCCCAGTCGCGTCCTCCCTGGAAGCAGCCAACGGGCCATAGCAGGCGGCTTTGCTGTCTTCCCAAACCTGGCGGCCGTTTCACGTCATTAAAATTATATCGGCTCCAGGCCACTTCTTGCATTGCGTGTGGCCCTCAGTGAGCCCATCTCCCTTTACTTTCCTCCCCACTTGGAGGACTTGCCGCCGGTGGACTGCTTCCGCACAGTGGTGGCTGATGGGGATGGAGAGACAGCTGGGCTGCCGGGGCCGTAGATGTATTCTCCGTCGACATACTGGGCACCATAGGTAAGAGTGTGTCGGTTCTTGCGGCGAGCATATCTGTTTTCCAGACGGCGGAACTCCATGACTGCGTATGTACATTAGCTGGCCGTTGAGGTAGCTTGATTGACAGCTGCAGTTAATAGATAGTTAACGCACTTTCTTCAATCTTGTCCTTGAGACCCATCGTGACTGTGCTGGTTGTAAGAGCCGGCTCTTATCTTGCAGTATGTATGTATAGAGAGAGAGAGAGGATGTCCCTTTTGGCTGAGACGGTAGTAGATATGACAAATTAAAAAAGGAAAGTAAACGACAGATATCTGGCTCGGGGTGCGGGTTGAAATAAGGAACGTGGAGAGCCCTGAAGGTAAAGAAGGAAGAGAAGAAGGTAGAAGCTGTTTATTCAAGGGAGAAATAGATCAACTATATCAACGTCCTGTGGAATAAAACAACTGTGGCTACCAACATTATTAGGCTCAACGGGGCTCCGAAGGCGATTTATATATACACACGTATATACGTAGTGCACGACACCCTTTTCTTCGGCGTGGGTATTATTATTATGTCTATACGGGTATTCTCCAGGGGTTCCAAACGAGATTAGGCAATTTCTCGCTGAATTCCGCTGATCGAAGTTATGGATCTCTGCGTTAGAGTTGGCCTGCGCAGCCGTCTGGGGGGGGGATATGTTGGTGTACGGAGAACATGTATCTCTACTTTTCAGGGTAGATTCCCGAAGACAAGGCAAAATAACAAGGACCAGCAGGTGTCTTGGAAACCTGTCAAGGCACTGACTTGTTACTGACAGGGCCGACGGGGTATAGACGGGGTTGCGCATCCTCACACCCGTCGTTTCGGGGCCTACTTTCAGGGGTTGTTCGGTTGCGCTAGTCAGGGGCTGTATCGCAACCTGACGAGCGTGGGGCCTCAGACGGGTCAAGGGAGACGGAACAAGTGCAGAGATGCGAGGTTAACTTTAAAGAACAGGGTACTCCGTAGAGACAGGGCAATGAGGTGCATGCTGGGGGGATTTCAGAGCGGGCGAGCATACGGAGACACTGGAGGCTGGAGGTTGGAGATGTGCTACAAGTCTCAGACAGTTACAGGACACCGCTGCAACGCAGCAAAAACACCAAGAGACTAGCTCTCGCTAAAACAATATAGTACAGACTCTAGGCAAGCGGATAGGAGGCGAGCAAATTGCGTTTCATTTATTAATTGACATCTGCCATGTATCGTAACGTGGATTGTCTATATGGAAAAAGAGGGAGACGGGCGGGAAGTAAGTATATATATATATCTATATACACAAGAGCACGCAAGTAATTGAATAATTCCCCATACTTGACGAATCTGATATCGTCATAGGGACTGGAGTCGTGGCTTACTATAGCTGGAACAAGGTGCGGGTATCTTCGAGAACATACTCCGTACGGAGTACGTGCGTAAGCAACATAATTCCGCAGCGGGTTCCGAATATAGGGCAAGTATATATATATATGAGCACTCTATAAGTACGCCAAAGAGGGGCGCTTGTGCGGATGTGCTTCCGTGTTGCTGCACAGAAGTATAAGTTAGCTACTGGCAGTGTACACAGACAGAGTATGCGGAGTTCTTCCAGGGTGGTGGTATAAGGGGTAATAATTATGGACTTACAGAACGTAGTCGTCTAAGCTAACGACACCCGGGTCGCTGAAAAGCAAGTAAAAATATTTGAGCGTCTCGCCTATCCAAAAGGATTCCATTTCGTCCTGGAAAACAGGCTCTTCGCTCGTGACATCTCGAATGGCGGAGTGTCCGTAGTCAACCCGTGTGGCGCGCTCAATGGCCTTGAACATCTCCCAGCCCTTTTCCCGCCAGGCTTCATCGCCGGTAATGCGATACATGATAAAGACCGACTCGATCGCCTCGGGGCGAAGGATATACTTCGCCGAGTTGACTTTCGTCATACCTGGAGGGATGCGCTCGTCCCTGATATGCTTATCAACAAGCTGTGCGTGCGACATGGAGGTGGATGTAGGTACTGCCGCTCCACCCGGAACCGGTCTGGACGGATCCCCGATGATGCGGTCAGGGATAGGCGTTTCGCGTGTATCTCCTCGTTTGGCAAACTTGCCTCCAGCAGTGGGATATTGAGTCTGCTGAGGACGGCCCAGGCCTTGTTTCTTGGGGGATAGTGGCGTTGTCGATGTGCTAGCATCGGCTTTATTAATGGCAGTTGGCTTCTTCACGGTAGCATCGCCTGCATTTCTCATGCCAATAAGGGAGTCTGGGCTGTGTTGCTGCATATGATTATACGGGTAGACAGCGTGGTTGTATGCGGTCTGATTCCATTTGCAATTTTGCATATCCTTGCATGGAAGCACTGCAAAGGCCTCGGGCATGATTTGGGACGTGGTAACATTGTATGCCCAGACGCAGCCGTCGGTCATCTTTTTCGCAATTTCAAGGTCTTCCTCCAGGCCAAAGAGCTTGGATCCAAGTCCAAACATACCCCCGACGAAGCAGCCAAGATGTGAGGGATGGTATTTGTAGTCGAAACCCCGCCCGTCTCCCGCTGTGGTGGATGTGGTGGTATCTGCGATAAAGAGGATGTCCCTGGAGTCTGGAAGCATGGGCCTGAAAGCAATGTGCTTCAGAGTTGCATCCCTGGCTAGCTTGTACATGTTTTTATACTGGTCGTTTAGACCACCTAGGAGAGCATATGTCTTTGGAAGATACTCATAGACCGAGTCTGCGAGGGCAGCCAAGGTGTACGTTGCACTGACTACACCGGGTGGGTATGCCAGGCCCTGCTCTTCGCAGTGCTCTTCGAATTCGGTCTCAGGTCGCTGCCATGGCTTGTCCTCGGGTATATCCAGCTTGAGAGGGGGAGCTGTATCGACTTTGGGCAACGAGGCCACCGTGCCTCCATAATTCGCAGGCTCTTCTCCTGGAAGCAAAGTGTCTCCATCTCGCTTCCCAAGACCGGCGTTGTCTTGCTGTGGTCTTTGTTGCTGCGACGAGGACCCAGGAGCACCCGGGCTGGATGGTGGAAAGTCTGGAATCTGCTGTTGCGGTCTCTGCTTTCTTGGTAGGGGTTTACACCCTGAAGCGTCCAGGAACGAAGGCCAGAGGCCAGGCACGCTTGTCTCAGGCTGCCATTTCTCAAGGGCATTTGTGATACGCGCTATCGCATCATAGTAGCGGTTGTTCTCAGTGATCTGGGCCAGTCTAGTGAATTCTATCGACATCGAGCCGAGCTCAGCCAGGACAACCCTCTTGCCCGAGCGGTGACGCTGGGATGCAAATTTCCTAAATCGCAAATACAACCAGGTTAGTTGCATAACAGAAACAGACAAATGGTATAAATAGAACCAACTCACGGAGACCAAATGTAGTAGGTGACCGGCATCCTGTTTGGGGTGTCAAACGCACCCATCAGGATCTCCGCAAGCTCGATGGCCTTGTCAAGCAGAGTCCCGTACCGGCCGTCTGAGATGTCATATGCACCAATGAGGCCACCGAGATAGCGAATAACGGTTTCGAACAAGGGAACATCCTTCCTCCTGCTGGTCTTGAAGTCGATCTTGCCAACGGCCCGCACGGCCTCTTCAAACTCCTCCTTCATCCCAGCTATCCAGAGCGTGTCCAGAGAATCAACCAGCGTAGCACCCCAGCCCATAAGGGGGTCTCTGTATCCGCCCGACTGAGGCCGCACTTCATCATGCATCCAAGCACGTTGTCTGTATCCATCCCAGGCATGTTTCAACGAGTTTTTGATCCGGGCAAGTTTCTGTTCGCGTTCGTCTTTCGCTAGGGCGGATTCAGGGGAGAACTTGAACTGGACTTTGGGCAGGTTCTTGGGAGTCCCCTTTGGTAAGGGGATGACATCCTCCGACGGAACGGGGAAGTGTTCAGGCTGCTTCTCCCATCGAGGCAAGCTTGTCTCCGAGCCATCTCCGTCCTCGTCTTCTTGTCTGCCCTTCCCACCAGGTAGATCGTGTCCGTTGTTGCTCGGTACATTGGCTGGAGGTGCGGGTACGGCTGGCGACGGCGGTGATGGCGGCGGCGTTTCTTTTACAGGAGGAGGAGGAGGCGGCGGATTGACACCACCGCCATCTTGCTGGCCCTGTTGACCCTTTTCAGGCACTGGCGGAGCAGGAGGCGGTATCGGTTTCTGCTTATTCTCGTCCTTGACTGGAGGCTGCGGTTGAGGTTGTTGTGGTTGCTGTGGTTGTTGCGGCTGCTGGGCCGGCTGCTTGGGGCTGTCGGGCCTCAGGACAGGGACGGGCGGCGCATACGAGGAGGTCGAGAGGCCGCCAAAGCCAGAGAAATGGATAATGGCAAGAATTGAGATGATAGAGAAGATCAGGTAGACTCGATACCGGCGGAAGCGAAACATGGTGCTGGCTCTTGTCCGCGAGGGATCTGCTCGACCGAGGCTGTCTGTTCCGCGGCCCGGAGACGACGGACGGTTCAATGAGCGAAGTCCTTGATACGGCGTGGTATGCTGAGAACGATGGGCTGGATGGAGAGAATAATCCCTACATCATCACACGAACAGTATTCAACCCTGGACGGCCTGCTGGGGGCTCTCGCTGAGCGGCGTGGAGAAGCAGGAGAGTAAAAATATTGGAGAATTCATGCAGGAGGAAGAAGAAATAAGCGTAAAAATAGCCCGGTTAGTCTTTTGGTGGCTGCACTAAAGTGGATTCGAGCGCTGGAACAGCCAGCGTTATGAAGAGAATTTGATATCAATGCTGTATTACTGACTATCAGGCTGATGAGCGGGTCCAGAGAGATGGCAAGAAGGGGTTATATATATATAAGTCAGATGTGTATTGTGCGGACGCTGTTTCGTGGATGTCTTGAAAGGGCTGACCAACAACCCCTGGGACGCCTGGGGGGTATGCATAACTAGCTAATTGACTTGACTGCTAACATCTAGAAGTCTACACCAGATAGAAAGACAGATAACTCCAACTCCAACTCCGTGGGAACCCGTATATGCAGTGCAAATATACACAAGTGAGCGACAAGACTCCTTCACATTCCTACTGTCCTCCGGCCCTCGTTTCCTGTCATCTGGAACTGCTGGATCAGACCTAACACGCCGGCGCCCTCGACAACCTCGTTGATATCTTCTTCGTCTTCCTCCTTATCCTCGCCTTCGACCTCAGCGGCCTGGTTCATACGCCATGATTCCTCGAAGTGGCTGTCGTCTACTGCTAGCCTGGAGCTTGAGGCAGTTTTGCTGGATCCGCGGGCGGTTAGTCGGGGAGTCGCTACCTGAGACTGGGACTGAGACCGGGTCTGGGACTCGATAGGCTCTGGGATGGCGCCTCTCATGAGGTTTAGCTGGCGAGTAGGTCTGGTTCGTGGAGAGGGACCTGGAAAACGGTTTACGTTCTTGAATCCTGCGATGGGCGGCGGCGGCGGCTGGTGATGAGAGTCTAGGAGAACTGACGCTAACGGTGAGATCGGCCGTGCCATGACCGGGTCGTGGGGAGGAGACTGAAGACTGGCCATGTCCAGGCCCAGGTTGTGATGGATTGAGCGCTGGGGTCCGCGGTCATACGGGTTGGTGCCTGTGTCTCCGCTATTCAGCTTGGACTGCGGGTTCTGTCGTCGATGCATCATGTACGCGTGTGTCCCACCAGCTGTAGGATTGGTTGAATAGTGGTCTAGGAAGCCATAGTAGGATGCTAGCATCTTGCCGTCCTGGGTAGAGTAATAGTCGTTCCGTCCGACAGGAGCACCGCCGCCGGAACTAGGACCAGCGGCGCCCGTGGCAGGAATGGTAGAACCACTAGCATCGCGGCCCTGTGGAATGATATTGTTGCCCTTCTTGAAGTCGAAAACAGCAAATGAACAAACGTATCCTAGTCCATCGACATGCACGGTGAATTCGCGGAAGAAGTCGATCAGGCGATCACTGCATTTCGGCAGGCTGAACCAGAGGACAAATGGCGTGAAGATCATGCTAAGTATTTCCTCGAGGAAGATAACCAGCTTCATCTGGTAGAGAAGCGAGAACTCTTTCTTGATCTCGTCGCTATGCAGCCTACCTTGCCAATGGCTAGGCTGGTAATGCGTATATTCAATGACTCTGCGGATGGCAAGTTCAGGATCAAACACCAGGTTTTCCGCTGGTATGACGCCCTGAGCTACGGCCCAGACGGAGCCAAAGATACCGAGATAGAACAGCGCCGTTCTATCGTGTGTGATTTCGAATCCGAGAAAAAGTTCCGGATCGATGATAGTTGCGAGTGCAAGGACAGAGGCAAGTGCGCTGGCTATGAAGGCCACAAAGCGAGCGAACTGGACTGTTTTGTCCTTGGGGAATTGGGCGATGTACTCGTCCGCCGCGAGACGGGACATGTTAGTGCGGCGTTCGAAGAGGTGCCAGAGTTCGTTGAACTCGCGGAACTTCCACTCGGCGAGCGGGGTGTACTGTCGTGACCCGATCTGGGACGGGTTCTTCTGGTATTCGCTGAAGTAGCGGAAGAAGTAGTGCATGAGGAAGTAAGTGACGATGAAGGGGGCCATGAAGATATTCATGAATCCCGCAAGGATGAAGCGGCGTCGAAGGCCGTCGCTTAGAGCCTTGCGGTGGGTATCCTTGAGGAAAAGGGGTCTGAGCTGGCCCTGCTGGTTGAATGCATAGTCTAGCACGCAGAGGTTCAGGTTCCATTCTAGAGTGCGGGAGAAGAGCTGGCGTTTGCGGAGAAAGGGGACTGGTAAGGTGAGATCGAGGATATCTTTGTTGAAGAGGGCAATGAGGTAGTTTTCCCGTCTCATGAGGCGGTTGGCGATGTCGTGTGCATCCATGCGCTGTTTGGACTGGCTGCCTAGGAACTTGCGGTGTTTGGGAGACACGGCAGCGGCGGTGGAAGGGTTGGAGTCTCTGAGCGCCATGAGACGGCTGACGACTTGCTGCCAGGAGACTGTTTGGACGTCGGCATCCGGGATGCCGAGCAGGTACTGATAGAAATCTTGCATGTGTCGAAGACGACGGAAGTCGACGGCGTACTGGAATACCTTGCCGATCCAGAATATGGTGAAGAGCCAGAGCAAGAAGGTAGAAAAAGCAGACATCTTGCGCACGCACCCGGGTATGAGAATCTGGGACATGGTCTTGCTATGTGGCACCCTTCTGTAGTCGATGCAGCTGGAGAGAAAAGTAGTAAACCCGACTACAAACGCCAGGGTTCTACAGCAGTTAATATATGCCTACCATAGATATAGGTATATATATGTATGTATATATGTATAAAAGACGGAGAATGTAAGGTGACTTACATCAAGTTGAAAGCTCTGCTTAGCATGATGCTCCAGATGCCGTTCCCAAGGAAATAATCATACACTTCCTGCAAGAAGTTATCCAGATTCTCCACGTTCGCCCACCTCCACAGGGCCTTCTCTCTGGGATCAGCCAGACGCAGGGCAGCATTCTGCTTCACCCCCCAGACACGCGGCGGGCCTTCCTGCTCAGCTATTCCCCGGGCCGTGGTCTCCCATCTGTTGTTGTTCCGAGCCTGGCCAGAGGGGGAAGCAGAGGATGGCCCACGTAGATGCAGCGAATGTTCGCCTATCCCACTCGACCTTAACGGATGCATGGGCGGAGGAGGCAAGGGGGAGCTCGGCACCGCATGTCCTTCCACCAGCAAGGAGGCAGGCACTTCATCGTCGGCCTCTGTATCTTCTGCTCCCCCAGCACTACCACCAGCACCACCACCAGCACCAGCACGAGAACCAGCGCGAGCACGACCAGCATGAAAGGCCGAGGCTACGTTTACATTATTCCTAGGCGCTGACCGACGCGAAAAGGGACTGCTCTGTCTGGACTGGCTATCCGAGGCCTGCGCAAGGGCGTCTTCCAGCTCGTAGTCGGTGTACTGCTGTCCGATCAGGTTCTCTTCGTCGACCGCCATGCCGGCGCGGTTCTCGACGTCGGAGCCATCTGAGTCGCCGTCGTCGTCGTACTGGCGCAGAGTCTCGTAGATGGACGGGGTAGTGCTGGTGTTTATGGGCATGAAGCGGTTCATGGTTGGGTGCTTTTGACGTCACGGAGTAGCTAGGATACAGCTTCGCATATCACCACTGCTGGCCGAACTCATGTTCTGTAGCTATATAGCTGATAGCTGACACTGCAGAGAGAGAGAGTCAAGATATGGGTTGGTTAGCCATCGGCATTAAATAAGTTGTAAAAGAGCAAACGGCTTTAATCCCGTGGGTTGTGTTTCTCTGCCTAGCCATGGGCTTCTGTGAGGTCACAAGGAGGTGTCTGGTGGGAGCTAACCAGAGGAACGCACCTTGATAGCTAGTTAGTTAACTAGTAGTTACTGGTACAGACAGATCATCGACTGCTGCGAGAGTACCAGCAAGGCCTTATATGCTAGTATTCATCGTCCACCAACTTGAGCTGTCTTCTTCTTCGTCTTCTTCTTCTGCTTCTTTTCGTCTTGACGTTGAAGTTGACGTCGAAGCATCACCATCACGTGACTGGTACACTAATCTGGTGACTTTATGCTGAAGAAGCAGAAGAAGCAGAAGAAGAGACGAGAAGACGAGAAAAAAAAGAAGATGAAGAGAAGATGGATGTCTTACTCGGAAGACATCCCAGAAGCAGCAGCAGAGTGCCAGTGTAGGGTTCTAGAGTCAACTGCAACTGCACGACGGCAGCAGGAGGTGACTATGTAGTTAGTTAACCGGTCGGCCGTCGTCGGGAGTTATATAGTTACATCGTGGCCAGAGCATCGCCCGTTTAACTAACTAACTAACTAACTAGCTAACTAGCTGGTTACATCCCTATAGCCGAGACTGCGCTTGAGGTCTGTATTAACAGACGCCTGGAGCCGGCCAGCCCGTGCTATCTAGCAGTAGAACTTTCTTCCACAGACTACAGACTCCAGACTTACAGACTACCAGACTCCCTGACAGCAAAGGATACATAACTAATGTGCGAGGGCCCAGGAGTCCGGTCACTAAACTTAGCCTCGCAGCAAGCTAGCGGCTGACAAGGATAGGGATCGGGATACAGCCTTATTGCGATGCAGAGTGACGGCCGAGTGAACGTCAGTGATCGGAGTATGTATAGATAGAGTAATGTAAGTAGTTAAGGTAGTAAAAATAGTAGTAGGCGAGTCGCAGGTTGGCCGAGCTGCCCGCCAGCAAAAGGAACAAGCAGCGAGGCGAGCCCGCACACGCACGCCAGGGCAAGCCGTTGAGATGCCAGCGATGTCGGTCCATCACTCTCTCTACCAAGACCAGGTGCGAGTTCTGGCAGCGACACGTCGCCAGCAGCATGACTGGTAGACCAGCCTGATGCCAGTGACAAATGCCAGCAATGGTGCTGCTAGCCTATCGAGAGCTGTCTCTAACTAGTTACTCCGTAGTAGTAGTACTCCGTAGTGGTCAGTTAAGTCATCGTCTGCTGGCTGGCTGCAGGAACAGGCGCTTCTAGAAAGCCGGTAGAAACGACAGAAAGCTGCCAGAAGGACGGCCTGTCGCCGCTGCTCTTCCTTTCCCACCGATCTTCTTCTTCTCTGCTTCTCTTCTTTTTCTTTTTCCTTTCTTCTTCTCTTCTCTTCTTCTTCTTCTTCTTCTTCCTCTTCTTCTTAAGGCTGCTGACTAAGCGGGGAGGGGAACCCCCCCCCCCAGCCAGGCCGCCGTCTTTTCCTTTTCGTCTTTTCTTCTTCCGCGACTTCGACTTCAACCTTCGACTTCAACCTCGACCTCAAACCTCAACCTCGACTTCAACCTCGACAGCGACCTTGCGACGACCCGACCGGGCATCAGCCACAGAGACAACTAACTGGCAGACGCAGCGGCAAGGAAGATCTTCCAAGGAGGCACACGCAGAGACAGAGACAGAGAGAGAGGAAGATCACTCTCTCGTCCTCGTCTTCGTCTTGCTGCTGCTCTCAGGTTTCTTCGCCTTCGCTGCCTTTCCTTTCTTTTTCCTCGCTCTCGTTTCTTTTCCTCGCCCTTTTTTCTTTTTCCTGCGTCTTTCCTCTGCGTGCGTCTCTCTCTCTCTCTCTCTCACTCTCTTCATCGCCGTCGTCGTTGCTGCTAGCAGGCAAGTCGTCGTCGTCGTGTTGACCCATCACCATTAATCACTTACTGCTAGCCCTTTTCCCGCGCTCCCTCCCTGCCACTCTCCCCTCCCCTCCCCTCCCCTCCCCTCCCCTTCCCTCCCCTTCCCTTCCCTTCGCTGCGGTGCGGCGGTGCTTGCTTGTCTTTTTCGCCTCTTCCTCTCTTCCCCCCATCGTCGACTCCCTCGCGACCCTCCCTCGCAGAACGGGACATGTAGGACGGGCCGACCTTGCTCTCTCTTTTCTCTCTCTCTCTC